CAGCCTCTAATATGCAGCCCCTATTTCTTCAAGTATTTATTAATAAATATGGCTGCCTCCCCCCCAACTCCAGCACTTCATAGGTCTACCTGTAAATGCTCTGAAATCCTTGAAATGCTGCGTAAATGTTAGCCGCTATTTGTTTCTTTGATAAATTTCTGATTTGCTAACAAAAGTAGGATGGCATGTGGGATAGCTCTAGGACGGAAAAGCTGCTCCCAGATTGAAAATGACAGGGTGGGGCAAAAACGGGGTCCACATACCCCAAAATACTTATAGCAGCATTTTTTAGTGGTAGCAAAGAACTGGAAACAAAGTAGAGGCCCATCATTTGGAGAACTAAACAACATGTGGTCCATGAATGCAGTGGAATAGTACTGTACTGAAGAAAGGGTGAATAGTAGGAACGTAGAAGAGCTCTTCCCATTCTGGTCATCACTCCATATCCAGACGTGACACAGGTTTGAAGGAAGGAGGAGGGCATGGTGCAGTCTGAGCAGGTCTGTGCCAACATGGGGATGCTACTCAAGGGCATTGACAGGTATTAACATGTCAGCTGAGGACCAACCACTTTTTGTTTTTATATTCCTAGTGCCTGGCACACAGAAAGTGCTTAATAAATGCTGGCCGATGCATTGATTGTGGTAAGGTATAAGAGGTGGACCTGGGTTCCAAAGACCCGGGTTCAAATGCTGATTCTGCTGCAAGGTTACCTGGGTAACCTTAGGTGTGTCACTTCTGCCCACTGGGCTAATTCCATTTCCTCACCTGTAAAATAAGGGAGTTGGACAAGATTAACTCTAAGGGTCTCAATCTACAATTCTATTTTCTTATTTTTAGGGTACAGGGAGGAGATGGACCTAACTGTAACACAAGGTGCTTGTGGGAAATGAGGAAAGAGCATTGGCTTTCCCAGACCAGACCCTAAGCCTTTGCCCTTCTGTCAGGATCAGAGTGGATGGGTCTTGGATCCAGATTAACAGAAGGCTTTCTCTTTTTTGAAACTGTATTGAGGAGGCAGCTAGGTGGTGCAGTGGATAGAGCACCGGCCCTGGAGTCAGGAGGACCTGAGTTCAAATCTGGCCTCAGTCACACAATACTTCCTAGCTGTGTGACTCTAGGCAAGTCACTTAACCCTAATTGCCTCACGAAAGAGAGAAAGAAAGAAAGAAGGAAGGAAAGAAAGAAAGAAAGAAAGAAAGAAAGAAAGAAAGAAAGAAAGAAAGAAAGAAAGAAAGAAAGAAAGAAAGGAAGGAAGGAAGGAAGGAAGGAAGGAAGGAAGGAAGGAAGGAAGGAAGAGGAAGGAAGGAGGAAGGAAGGAGAAAGAAAGAAAGAAGAAAAGAGAAGCTGTATTAAGGAAAGAAACTGCTTAGTTTGGTGCATGGGACGGCCCCAGGCTGAGGCTGAGGGAGGTCTGAAGAGCCGTGGGGATTCTTGCCTCCTCTTGTCTCTCCATGTCCCTGTTTTATGCAGCCCCCATTTCTTCAAGCATTTATTAATAAATATGGCTGCCTCCCCCCCAACTCCAACACTTCATAAGTCTACCTGTAAATAAAGTTCTTGTTGTGTTTTAAAAAACACACCCACTGGCCTAAGTATGATGACAGCCTGGATTTTAGTCCTAGCTCTGCCAATTACTTGGCACATCACATCTTGGGCCTTGGGCACATAATGAAGGGGTTAGAGCAAATAATATTTCAGGTCGCCTTTATTGTCTGTGATCCCCCAATCCAAGTGACCTTGGGCAAATCATTCTGCTACCCTGGGCTTCATTTGGACTTCATGATCTCTGAGGTCCCTTTCTGCTCTAACATTCCATCTCCTAATTGAATTCCTACACTCTACCTCCCTGCAAGCTACTACACTGAGATTTGTCTTAATCTCTCAAGGACCAAGGTATCAACTAGGTAAAGTGATAAATTAATTGTTGTGGCAGTAATTTAACTAATTTTTACCTGTGCTTCTGTAAGTAATTCCCCTAGCCTCTTCTGGATTCTAGACAACTCCCTCCCACCCTTTGCTTCTCCATCCACATAAACACAAATCCAGCCCCTCAAACCTTTTGTGAATCTACAGTTAGGAGTCAAGTAGGATAGGAGGAGAACACAGTACCAAGGCAAGAAATCTGGAGACACAGGGAGTTGGGCTTTGCCTTGGCTTGGACCACAAGCTGGAGTGTTATGTTGTGTTCTAGTTGCCTCCTTTAGAAAGAGGATTGAAAAATCTGAGGATTGGTCAGAGAAGGGCAACCATCCCAGATGGCAAGGGGCTTCAGGTCCATGTCATAGGAGGATGGACAGAAGGAGCTGGAGAAGAGAAGACTAAGGGGGTAGATGATATCTGTGTTCACGTATTTAAAGGGCAGTCAGGGTGGAGAGATGTGGGGATTGTTCTGTATGGATCCGGAGGGCAGAACTAGGGCCATGAATGGAAGTTACAAGGAGGCAGGTTTTGGTTTGATGGGAGGGCAGAAGCAGGCTTAGTGTGGATGCCTCCACGAAAGCAAAAACAAGAGGATTTAACAAAAAAAACAAACCCTTCCTCTTTTCTTTCTCCCAACCCCCAGAAGAAAAAAATAATCCAACAACTAGGGTTAAGCTTGCTTGGGCCGCTTCATCATGTATAGTCCCAGTACAAGGGGCCCAATCCAGTGTGCACATGCAGGCACCTATTCCCAAGGTCACTGCCTTTGCTTCAGATTTGGAAGAAGGAACTCTTGCTTTCCTTTGTATCCTCAGCACTTGGCACAGTGCCTGCCACATAGCAGAAATTTAATACATGCTTGTTGCCTTCATTAGACTTGCCTTGATTTTTCCTTGGGGAAAGGGTATTGTTTTTATGTAAAATACTATATTCAATACAAGCATATCCCAAACATCCTGAGCCCGTGATCATGCAGTTAATTGTTGTAACCAAACCATACCTTGAACATCAAGGAAATCATGCTGAAATATCATTTAACTGATGCAATGAGGGATAGTGAAAAGAGCGTGTTGGGCTTGGATCGCAGAAAACTAAGGTGCAAATCCCCAATTCTGACACTTAGCTGTGTGACCCTGGGAAACTTACTGACTACATGCCTCAGGCACTTCCCTAAGGCTTACCTACAGCATCCTGGGGGGTTATTATCACAGAATCATAGATACAGAGCTGGAAGCAACTTTAGAATCCAACTCTCTCATTTTAGATGAGGAAACGGAAATATCCAAAGGTATCAGATGATTTGCCCCGGGTCACACAAGCTAGCAAGTGCTTGAGGCAGGATTTGAACTCAGGTCCTCTTGACTCCAATTCCATCATTCTCTCCATTCCACAGCCAGCTGCCTAAGAGTTCCCACCCCGGGAATTCCCTTCACTGACACAATCACAGATCTTTTCCACATTCATGGTCATGTATACTCCACCCTCACTCCCAAGATTGCTTTTTGTTTTTTTTTTTTTAATGACATGTATTTTGCCTGGGCATTTCTGCATTATCCCTTGAACACAAATTAAGAAGCTTATTTTTTTGTCATCAAACATTTATTGCAAATATTCAGATGAAAAATCTTTTAGCCACAATGTTAACAATACAGAGGAAACCAAACTGTAAATTCGTTTTATTTGGCTGAGAAATGCTAAGGTTATAAATCGAGGTCCAAGCAATCCAGTGCACTGTACTCATTGCATCTGAATCAGTTTTTCTTCTCTAAAACAAACCTCCAAAAAATGCTTAAGGAAGCCCTGACACCAACTCCAAAATGATTTTTTTGTCACATACCCATAAAAGAAGTCCATTGCAATCTCACATAAATTATCACCTGAAGTATTCATGCAGATTACTGTAGCAGAAGGAATATTTGAATCTTGAAAGGTAAAATGAGCATATCCCCACCCACAAAGGACCTAAAAATTGGAAGAACAGATCTTCTCCCTCAAAATGACTGGAGACACAATGAATCTCTGCAATCAGAAAACACTTGCATCCAAATGAGGGTCGGCTCCTTTCTCCCCAGACCGCGGTCTAGCTGTTGTTTATAAATCTTGCCTAGAAGGTGTGTGGAATTTGAAATCTCTTGGATGTAATATGAGGCCCAAACCCTCAACCAAACAAATCTTTATCTTCATCTAAATCTTGCAAAAACAAATTGAGACAAGACTAAATTCCAGTTCACCTGGAAAAAAAAGACACATGTTTCTCCTGCTCTTGCATCTCTGTACACGTTTATTAATCCCAAACCACTTTTTGACCTCATGCCAAGCATTCATCAATTTCCATCAAGCATTATCACTGGTCTCTGCAGTGTGCCTTGGTGGGTTGACGTGTGAGCTCAGAGAATAATGCATTGCTCTTCCCAAGTCCCAGTCCATGCTTCAAAAGGCAGCTCTGTTCAATGTGGTGAATTTCCCCGGAGTACGTTATTGCATTTACAAGAGGCATTGTTAAAAATAAAATTTGAGGAGAAAACAAGTGTAGAAGATATTGCAATCTCAACAATAGGGACACGACAACTAGATCTGTAGCCTTTCTGCATACGGAAATGTTCCCTTGGCCAAATGTTCCTGGGGCTTAGCAAAAATGTGATTTGATTAGCAGATTATTGGAAAAGTTGGGCTATAAATCACACTGTTAGCCACATGCATAAAAAGAGTTCCCACGGAGTCGGGGAACTGGAATTTAATATGAAAAAGAATCTACAGTCATGTGGCATACTATAAATGGGGAGGGACAAACATACAAGCTAATACACCATACACCACTGAGTACCATGGCTATGTGATTATACAATGTTCCTACCCTTAGAGATTAAATAACTTTTACTGAAACGAGGACCTTATTTTTTGCAGTGGGGTCCGCAAAGCAAAGCTAACAGTTTTCATTGAAAATGCAAAGTTTAGGGGCAGCTAGGTGGCACAGTTGATAGAGCACTGGCCCTGGAGTTGGGTGGACCTGAGTTCAAATCCAGCCTCAGATACTTGACACTTACTAGCTGCGTGACCCTGAGGAAGTCATTTAACCCCAATTGTCTCGCCAAAACATACAATAAAATACATGCAAAGTTTAAAAAAAAATAGGAATGTGGAAAAATGAGGATGGGCCTGCAATTTCACTGTGGTGAAGAACACTGAGTGTGAAATCTCCATTCACCCATGCAGATCAGCAACTCTTTGTGAACTTACAGAATCAGAGGTCTTCCCAGAGTGCTGGGAGATAAAGCATCTCCCCCATGCTCTGCTACATACGTAGGTAGTAAGAACCTATGTCTTTTCTATCCTCCTATCGGCTATACACCACTGTCTCTTGATGGTAAAATGTATGCATATGCTTTCATCAGCTAAATATATAAAGTCTTTTAACACACTGGGGGTCAAAAGCAATGAGAACAGCTTCCCTATGAAAAGTCAGAGATGCCATCCTGGTCCAAGACCTGGAAGGGCACCAAAAACATGGCAGTGGTAGACAATGGCATTGACCCATTGCTGATAAGTAAATTACAAAGCTCTGATATATTGTATAAAAACCATGGCAATTATGTCCATGAAACATAATTAACAGTAACATATCATTATAAATTGCTAACACATAAAATCCCAAGCCTACTGCAAATTGCCAGGAAAGTTGCATATCTCTAGTTCTTTTTAAAAAATAAACAACAAAAAAAGAAATGATGGTCTTCTAAGCAATCAAAAGAACTCTAGGTTTTAATGACCTCTTTCTTCAGCTTAATTCCCATTCATTACCAGGTGGGTCCCAAATTTGCAAATTTACCCACAGAATTTTAATCCAAAAATTGCAAGCTCTTTTAAGAGAGCCTCATAACTCCTGCCCATTGAAGAGCTGGCAAGGTCATGATGATTTTGATGAGTAGTCACTTAACATAGGAAAGAAAAAAGTATTAGGGTAAAATTTTATGAGTAAAAATTTAATCATATGGAAAGTGAATAGGAGATAATAGAAGCAGCAGTCTACAATGGAAGAAAAACACCATATTAAACCTGGTTTTAGTGAACTGAACCAGGTTTCTGATGGGGAAAAAAATGGCAGTCAAATTCAAAGCAAAGCATTTAACTGCACATATATATATCCAGGGAGCAATCTCGCATTTTTAAAGCTTCCCTAACCTTGGGAAATCACAGAAACAAACCAACAAACCAACCAAAAATGCTACATTTTCACAGAAGCCCATTCTTTACCAAATTCTTGTAACTAAAGTCTTCCATAAAGCTCTACCCCTGACATGTGATAGTTCAATGTTTTTTAATTGCAATTTTTGTCTGGAAACGAATTCCAAACCTCCAAGCTTATGGACACAATGTAAAGTTAAAAACGGGTTGAATTTCCCATGGGTTGAAAGGTGCCACTTTCATTGTAAAATGTTCAAATTGATATAGGCACATTTTGCAATGGCAGTCTTAAAATATAGCACTTCTACCTATATGTCACTGAATTTACAACCGGCCTTGTGCCTTTAAATAGTCAACTCCCCATTGTGGGTCTCATTTTCCTCTTTTGTAAAATGTGAAGCGCAGACTAGATTTTTAAAGTCCCTTCCAGCTCTAACACACTAAGACTCTATGTGGGTAAAGTCCTTTCAAAAGCATAAAACACCAGACAAATGTGACCCATGCCTGTGATTTCATCATATGTGGGGAACTCCTCCTAATGGAAAAATTCCCTCCACAGATGCCGATTGGTAATAATTTGTAACCAAGAGTCTGGGGCACTGTGACTGTATGAATCAGAGGCAGGATTCGAATCTTTATGCTCTTGACTACAAGGCAGAGCCTGCTTAGCTAGGCAAATGCAAGAAATTGATATTTTGTGAAAATGAACAATTCTTTGGAAATTTGTTGACTAAAGTAAATGTGTGGAAGACTGACTAACCAAATGAAATAAAAATAGCACATAGTAATAATAATAAAAATGATAGTACAATGATATTATCATAAATGATTACAACAAATAAAATGTAACCAGTGGGAATCATGAGAAGTCCCTGCCTGGTTTTACAGATTCCTCTTCTGCATCTATAGCTTTTACATCTATGTCATTTAGACAAACATGTCGATCTCTCATCTCCTGTAACTGAACCTGAGTTACTGAACCTACTCAGGATCTGAGTTCCCAAACCTTCAAAAGACTGACAGCCATTGTTTCCCTCTTATCCTTTCAAACAGATCAATCCACTCACACTCAACCATTCATCAGACTGCTACACCATCTGTGACCCTCATGACAACTAACCACTTCTCAGAGGTGGTGATCCCCCAGAACAGATAGAAGTGAAGGATACTACATGAGGGAAAAGACCCATGGCAACCCAGAGGAAGACTGGTTTGAAAAACCTACTCTTAGGAAATTGCCCAATTTAGAATTCCATTGAATCAAGAATTTCCAGTGAGTCTTCTAGCCCTATGGATTCTTCAAAGCCTGCTTGTGGGTTGACAATGAGCCCAGCATTTTTCAAGGCATTATGGGCATTCATAAATTTCTGGAGGTATTTGGAGGTGTACAACCAATGGTGTTTCAGGACATCTTCCATTTCATAACACTTGGACTGTCTAGCATTCATTTTCCGGAAACGTCGGAAGAGTTTATTACCAGATTCATTCCCTTCACTGGCCCATGCTCCGATGGAGCCATCTCTCTCAATGATCTCAGGGACATGGGCCAGGGTCTTGTGAAAGTAATTGGTGATTTTGCCCTCATATCTGTACTGGAACTTGGTAGACAGCAGTTCCGCAAAACGCTGTGAATTGAAACTATACTGGCAGAGTGATTCTGGGCACTCTTTGGCTGGACATGTCGAGCGCCACACAGGTTTCATCTTGAGGTAGAGGTCCATTAGCTCTCTCAAGGCCTCGTGTCTTTCCTCACAGTGAATTAGCTCACACACTGCTTCCACAGTCTCCTTGGTCATGAGCTTCCTGGCAAAGTTGCCATTCATCCTCATGATGGGCTTCAAGTTCATTTTCTTCCGGAGGTGCTTGTCCAGGGTAGCTTGCCATCGTTTCCTTTCCTCTTTGGATGCGTTGGGATTCTTATAAACTTCCCCAATCTCCAGCTGGAAGAGCTTATAAAACTCGGCTGCATTGCCAATGTCACAGTGGAGAGCGTCGATGGAAGGGACCGTCTCAATGAAAGGCTTTGCTGAGACCCCTTTCACCCTGTCTCTCAGCTCTTCTGCTGACTCCTGGTACGGGTTGGATCTCCAGACTTCATAACGTTCCAGATTCTCAGCATGGCTTCTAGTTATGGAGTGAAGGACAAGATTTTGGGAAGCTTCCAGGCGGGTGGCATCACAGAGGGTGCAGATGTAGACAGAGCCAGAAGCCTCCAGGCCTTCAACTTCCCGGACAAGTTTTTCATCATAGCCAGTTCCTCTAAAGATGAATTTAAAAGTTCTTTGGATGCCTCCCATCTCCAGCAGTAATTCACTGCTCTTCATCGCCTCTCTCTCTGCAATGAGGGGACTCAGGATGGCGGTCAGGGTCTCATGGTCAGATTCATCTGCCAGCATGAGGCATAAGGGCTTACAGCATAGCTCTGAATTGGGCTTGGCTTCTTCAAAGATCCTCACGCTCTCCTGACCCTGAGTGATGCTAATATTCATGATAGTGAACGAAAAACGAACAGCCTTCTCAGGCACAGCTGGTCCACTCCCATGTTTCTCACTCACATCTCCCATCCCATCACAGGACTCCTTCACCACCACAGTGAAAGGGCCACTCAGATAGTCACCCAAGTCTTGGGATTTCATGCCTTCTAAGATGTTTTCTTCCATGTCCATCAAGGCAGACACCAGTGCTGCATCGTAACGGAACCTCTTTGCAATGGTGTCAACTGGGTAGTCATCCACGGACACAGACCACCCAGAAAGCCCATCAATGATGCCTATGTCTGTGCGAGCAGAGACATTCTTCAGAGGGGGCTTCCACTCAAATGGGTGGTATCCAGGCAGAAGAGTCTTCTCTGCATTCCGGAGGGCATGCAGAGGTTGGAAGATCTGCCTCCCAGTGATGGCTTTGACAGTCCGATACATCTTGTGGTACTGGCTACAGCTCAGAAAAGTGTTGACCCGGATGGCCAAGCACACAGCTGCCTGGAGGCCCGACCCTCTACCCTGCATAATGGCCTCAAGCTCGTCTGCTTGTCGATGCTCATTTCTCGCTCTCAGTACCAGCAGGAACAAAGTCAGGCACACTGACTTCAAATCACCTCCTTCTTCTTTGTCTGCAAAAGCCTTGACCTGCAGCTTCAGTTCTCTTAGCCGGTGTTTCTGAGCCCTTCTGGTCAGGGACAGGAGATGCTGCCGGGGCCGGCCGCCTTTATTAATGTACACGTAGGACTCTTTCGGTTCCTTGTGGCTGGAGATGTGCTGGTTGTATTTTTCAAGGCTGACCTCCTTGTCACAGTCTTTCACGGGGCATCTCACCACCAGGGAATTGAGGATGTTCACAAAGGACCTCACTGGGCTTTCGACATCTGTAGGGAAGCAGGGATATTGACAAGAAGGGCAGTAGCTGCCCATGACCTTGAGGCACCTCAAAATACAGGTTCTGCAGAATAAATGCTTGCAGGGGGTTTCCACTGGGTCAGTCAAAATGTGCCCACAAATCTGGCATGAGATGGCCTTCACAAAGTCCACAGGGTAGTCCACGGCGAGCAGCTCAGTGCTCAGGTGCATCTGGCTGCAGTTGGTGTTCTTCTTCATCATATCTTTGCTATTTCGAAGCTGGGTTTGACTTTTGGGGGGATGGGCCCTTTGAGCCCTGTTGGCCACAGCCTTGAGCTTTTTGCTGAGGGATGGGTTGGTCTGACGGCCTTTCCTCTTGAGTCCCCGGCGGGCTGTCCGGCAGATGTCACAGCATGGCGTGTGCGGGTGCCACTCTGTGGCAGCTTTCCTTGGGAAATATACCTCACGTGGAGCATTGCTGAATCTCCCATACATAATGCTCCAACAGTTGTGGCAAAACTGGGTGGGGTGGATGGAGTCAATATCCCCTTTCACATCAATTTTAAAAACCTTCGCAATCAAGTCTGGCCAAGAAGTGGCTTTCTTTTCCTTCTTTCGGAGGAGACCCTGAGTTTTACTGTCCACTGGACCATGGACAGGGTGTCTCCTATTCTGCCCATCAGCTCTAAAGGAAACACCACAGATGCGGCAAAGCTGCCGGAGGCTGGCCTGGTGAATTGCCTTCTCCCGGGCTTTTCCAACATCAGCAGGCTTCTCTAAAGACTTGGCATGGGCTGTGCATGTTGGTTGGACCTGGGCTGGCTTTTCTGGTGCTGGAATGTTGGCGCTGCCTACAACCTCTGGAGTTTTCTCCAGAGAGGCCTGGCCTTCCATTGCATTTCTATTTGGCCCTTGATCTTCTCCAGGAGAAGGCCTCACAAAGGATCTCACTTTGAAGAGCTTGAATTTCCATTCAGAAAATTTCATATGTGGGTGCTGGATTTCATCTGGTGCAGAGCTAAGTCCTTGACTTGGCGCCACTGGTATTTCCATGGTGGCAAGGATGAGGGCCCCTGGGAACAAATGGAGAAGGTCAGATCAGGTGGAAATTCATGAAATGAATGATACATGATCACTCTACTGCCAGACACTTCATTTACTCAACTCACAGGTAAAAGCTGACACCAAACAAAATAGAGGCTGTTACAGCGTAACTCCTGGTGTCATGGACCAGGAGTACCAGAGTAAAAGTCCCTGGGTTCAAATCCTGCCTCTGGCATTTATTAGCTGTGAGATCCTGGGTAAGTCACTCCCCTATCTGTGGAGAGAGGGACAGGGGTGGGAGGAAGGAGACAGAGAGAGAGAAAGAAAGAAAGAAATTGAGAAAGGAAAGAAGGAAGGAAAGAAGGAAGGAAGGAAGGAAGGAAGGAAGGAAGGAAGGAAGGAAGGAAGGAAGGAAGGAAGGAAGGAAGGAAGGAAGGAAGGAAGGAAGGAAGGAAGGAAGGAAGCAATACTACTTGTATTTACCCCTAGGAGTTGTCTGTAAGCTCCAATCAGTCACAGTGTCCACATATAAGAGGTGCTTAATAAATGCTTGTGGATTGAATTGATAATGTATGTGAAGTCCCTTGCAAACTTTAGCCCATTATATCAATCCCTGCTGTTATTACTGTTCTCTATCTACATTGATTTTCCCCTCACTGCACTAGACAGACATTCCATTCCCAGCTTTTGAAAACAGACTTTCAAGGGCTTCATTGTTTATTCCTTCCAAACTGGCCATAAAGAGGAGATAAAACTACAGACCCAAAGAAAATAATTATTCACCAAGTGAAAGGATGAAGCCAACTTGAGCTTTATGAATGCAAGCTAATAAGTATTATGAATTGTAATTATGCTTGCAATTTTAATTAGAGAATGTTGCTGTAAATTATAAGGCTGTATCTACATTGGCTATAAAAATCCCTGGATTCCTCAAGCTTGGAGGGCACTGTGCCATACTCTCTGTGTTCTGTGGTGCCCTATGAAGAATTTTCCAGATGAAAGTTCAAAGGGATTTGGATACTCTACAAAAATGATCTGTTGAAGAGTTAGCATGGCTTCACCCGGTAGTCCTCTAATTGGCAAATGGTTGATTACTGCAGGGTTGTTGGGGGTTTTTGAAGTGGGTTAAGGTAGGAGTGGTTATTGTTCTGTGATTAGGATCCCCCAGCAAGTGGCTGGTGACATACCATCAATAGCCCAGCAAACATCTACTGAAGACGAATTCGACTGATTGAGATAGAGGCTGACCTAATGATCTAGGACTCCTATTTATAATGCCTTCTAGAATTTCTCCTTTCCTACTTAGCTCACCAAATCCCACTTGGTATATAAGTGGGAAAACAGTAACTAGTTTTCCTAATTAAGCATTGTAGACTACTCCTTCAAACACACACTCTGGCTAGCCAGGTTGAGTTACTCAACATCTCCCTGTATGTAGCCTATACTTCTCTACCTCAAAGTCTTCTCTCATGCCATATGCATCATTCCCTATTCCTACAGTCCCCTGTCCCCATCAACTTCACTTATAAAACTCTATATCATTCAAGTGCCTTTCTCAGAATTCCCATCAAAAATAATGCCTAACATTCCTATGGCACTTTAAAATCTACAAAGAGCTTTACATATTGATCTTTGTAACAACCCTGGGAGCAAGAGATATTATTATCCCATTTTGCAGATGAGAGAACTGAGACTGAGAGCAATTAAGTGACTTGCCCAGAACCATACAGTTAAGCAGCATCTGAGGCAGGATTTGAACTCAGATCTTCCTGACTCCAAATTGTGCCACCTAGCTGAGCTTTCCATTCTCAGACTCCCCACATTATACCTTTTCTACACCTCTCCAATCATGTCCTTTTTGATAGAATATGTATTTGTGTATATGTCAAATTCTTCCACTAGATTATAAACCTCATGAGAGCAAAGATAATGTCTTATCGATCCCTGTATCTCCCCCAGCACTTGGCATAGTATCTGGCACATAGTGGGGCCTTAATAAACACACATTGAATTAAATCAAATTGTCAGTCATAGTCCTAAGATTCAGGTTATGTACATTGTGAGCTACTAGACCGACCATTAAATATGTGTTTAATTAAATTGAACTGTCAGTCATTGTCCTAAAATTCTGGCTGTGTCCATTCTGAGCTATTAGATCAATCATTGTGACCAATTGGTTCCACCGTACCACTAGTTTTTCACTGAATTAACTGACCATGTTGACCAGAGATTTTTATCATCATAGAGACATAGCCTCAAGCTAAAATACCTCTTAGAGCGAACAAAGGGCTGTTCCCCAGATCCACCAGATGACAGTTCACTTTCAAGCTTTTTCCTTTAAACTACTGAAATCTAATTGATTTTCCATGCATGATGCTTCTAAGATGGAAGCTTTTTTAAAATTAAAAGCAATTCTCTTAGAGATGCTTAAAAAGAATGTTGAAAGTTCCTTGCAAGAGTAATGTGCTCTCCACAGAGCCCTGAACCATTTCAAAATCCTTCAACACCTCTCAGCCACAGCCTGTCACACATTCCTCAGGGTCTGTCTTCATTTATGTTTCTCAACTCTGTCCCATAGCTTAAGGTGACAGCTCGTTCTGGAATCTCTTACCAACTCCACTTACTGATTTCTGAGACAATCATTTTCTATCCCTTTGGCTTGTGCCCTTCCTAGCCTCTTTCAGGTAATAATCACAATAAGTGACACATACATCATATTTTAAAGCTAACAAAATACTTCACATACATGATCTCATTTGAGCCTCTCAACAACCCTTTAAACTATGCATTGCAGGTATTTTTAACTTCATTTACAGATGAGGAAACTCAGGCAGATAGAGATTAAGTGACTTTTCCAGGGTCACACAGCTATCAGAGGCAAGACTCAAAACCAGGTCTTTCTAACTGCTGGTCCAACAAGCTGTACAAAATGCAGTAAGAATAATAATTCACATTGATACAGCATTTTATGGTTAAAGACCACTTTACATACAAGACCAAATTTGATCCTCACAATAATCTGATAGTAGGATAGTTGGGACAAGTACACAGGCTATCCCAAAAGTCATAGTGCAGTTTTAAGCCTTAGTAGCTTAAATCTGCCTTCTTAACTCCTCCTACTGACTTCGCTTTGAGCTTGAGTAGCTTTAAACTGCACCAAGACTTTTGGGACATTCTGTATTCTCATTTTTATAGGTAAAGAAATCGAGGTTACGACAGGGCAACGTGTTCACCAAGGTCAGACAGATAATCAGTGGCAGCAACAGGACCTGATCCCAACCTTGTCTAACTCCATTTCCAGTTCTTTTTCTGTTAACTCCTACCTAAAGCATGCTTGCAGACTTCCACCTACACCTGTTAATATTTTTGAGGTATGTAAGCTCTGATAAGAATCAGCATAGTACAGGGGAAAGAGCCATGGATTTGGAATGAAAGGACATGGGTTCAAACACCAGCTCTGCCACTTGCTACCAACATGACCTCGAGCTAATAACATAACCACTCTGGGCCTCAGTTTCCTCATTTGTAAAATGTGGATGTTCTCATGATGAATATGGAGGGCAGCATCATACAAAGGCAAAGTCAGTAGTCATAGGATTGTTTATTGTTGTTATTTGTCTTTCATTCTCGAAGAAGACTATGACATCGGGTAGGTGATGCCATGACATGCAAGTAAATTGGATTTAAGTGAGAGGGAGCTATGCAAACTCATAGGATTAGAGACAAAAAGGAATCTCAGAGCTTGTCTAATTTAAACACATCAATTTTCAGGTGAGAAAACTGAGGCCCAGGGAAGTCAACAAGTAGGTGGCACAAAGGATAAAATGCCAGACTTGGAATCAGGGAAATCTGACTCCAAAACCTGCCTCAGATACTTATGCGTTGTGTGGCCCTGGGCAAGTCACTTGACCGCTGTTTGCCTTGGTTTCCTCAACTGTAAAACTGGGATAATAATAGCACCTACATCACAGGGTTACTGTGAAGATCAAAGAAACTAATATATGTTAATGCTCTGCAAACCTTAAAGTACTAAATACATTCTTTGTACTAATGTTAGTTATTATAATTATTATTATCACAATTGCCAGAGATAAACAGTAAATAATACAATTGGGTTTCAAATATCTGTTCTCTGACTCCAAGCTACCCTTCTGTCATGTATATGCTGCAATCCATTTTCTCTGCAATTTCACCAAATCTCATAGTTTTAAGGAACCAAATCAGATCCGTAAGAGAATCTAGACCTGCAAAATAACCCCAAAATGATTGCCTCCTTGAAGACCTATCATGGAGAGGGGGACCCACTGTGTGGAGGGAGCCTATTCCACTAGTAAGGCCACTACAGTTGTTAGCCAAAATTTGCCTCTTGGAAAGTTATACCCACTGAGTCTACTTCTATCCTCCAGGGCTAGGCAAAATGTACCTGATCCCTCTCCCAAAAGACAGCTTTGAGGCTTGTGAATGTCAAGCATTTATGTCCTACTCGAGGCTGGCTCTTCTCTAGGCTAAATATGCTATTCCTCAAGCTAATTCTTATGGCATGAACTCTAATCTCTTCACCATCCTGGATCACATCCTTTAGAAACTCCAGTTTATCAGTGTTCCTCCTAAAATGTGGTGCCCACAACAGAACATAGAGCTCCAGATGTGGTCTGACCAGATTGGGTATAGTAGAACTATCCACTCTTTATTCTGAGATACTAAAATTGTGTTAGCTTTCTTGGCCACCATATTCCAATTTCAACTCATTGAGTATAAAACCCACTAAAGCAACCCAGGTCTTTTTATTTTTTAATCTCAGACAAGTATGGTTATGTTCTAACCATACTTCTCCTTCTCATAGTTGTGAAATTGATTTTTTCAAATCCTTATCCTTAGCAAATTTTATTATATGAGATCGGGCCAGATCCTCTAGCCATTCAGTGTGTTGGCCATCCCTCTCAGATTTGCGTCATCTGCAAATTTGATCAGCTGTCTAAGTCATCTATCTAAGCACTTCACCCAAGTTTCTGACAAAAATGTAAACTACCACAGGGTTGAGCATAGATCCCTGAAACATTCCAGTGGTAACTAGTATAAGAAATGCATCCATGATCATTTTGAAAACCTTCAAAAGCAGGCTCTTCACCACTGAACTCACTTTTTACCTTCTTAGTTAACATTATTAGCCAAAACATAATACCAATTACAAGACCATCCTGCCCACACCCATCAAAATAATTTCCTAAAGCACAGGTCTGATCACACCCTGGCTCTGCTCAATAAATTCCCATGGCTCCCTGTTACTTCTAGGACCATCGTTATTCCAACTCTCCTACTACTTCGAAGCTTACAACTTTATCTCTCTGGACCCCAGCTCCCTCATGTGTAGAATGAGAGAATTGAAGTAGGTCACCTATGAGGTCCTTTCCAACCTTAAATTAATGATCCCAGGCTTTTCATTTTACAGAAGAGTAAACTGAGTTTCAGGGAGTTTACATAACTTGAATAATGCCACATAGTGGCACAACCACAGGTTTTCCAATTCAAAATCTAGTACTCATTTCACTATGTGCCCCACCCCCAAGTCAGAAGACAGAGTTGCCCCGCCCTAAAGTATTTGGCAAGGAACACTGCCTCAGGGATCATCCCTTTAGAATAAAATCCTTTATTGCTTGATAGAAAGGCAGTATGTATAGGGGATAGAATGCTGGACTTGGAATCAGAAAGGCCTCATTGAAATTCTATCTCTGACATTTTCGAACTATCTCATCATGACAAGTCATTCAGCCTCTCTGAAGCTCAGTTCTCTCATCTGTAAAAATGGATCTACAATGCCTATGGAATCTACCTCAAAGGGCTCCTGGAAGACACAAATTAGATGATTTATAAGACAATAGCTTCATGAACTTTAAACCACTTTAGGTGTCAGGTGTCACTGGTCAAATCTGGGTCAAGAAATATAGAGGAACCCTATCATTTTCCTCTGAGATTCCATAGTAGGTGTTCATTCCCTATGGTTTAGATTAAGTAATACTTGCCAACAAAGTCTTAGACTCATCCCTTGCCCAATTAATTTATTTGAGTATTCATTTGTCTAATCAATACACATTCATTAGCCATCCTCTATACACCAGCACTGTACTAGATGGCAATCATGAATAGAATTCATCTGCATAAGGAGCTAAAACATTTTATTTCTCATCCCTTTCTTTATGTCAATTCTCATTCCCTCAGGTATTAAAAAGGAAAATCAAGTTTCTATGAGTCTTCCCCTTTTCACCAGCCCCAAATAAGAACTCAACTATTTCTATTGAGAAAAATAAAATTATAATAATAAAATAATAAAATATAATATGTAATATTATAATATAAAATATAATAATAAAAAAGAAGACAAATGGCACATCACTTCCAGAACCTGAGAAAAGAGTGTTACCTTCCACTAGGAGCTGTCTGGTAAAGGCTGGTTCAGCTGGTGTTACAGTGTCTCAGAAGCAAACAAAGCCTTTCTCCATCTCACTCTCACCTATTCCATAGAGCAAACTGCAGCTGTGTTATTTATCTAGCCCTCTGCTGTCCTTTCCAGCCTCCCCACACCCAGTGAAGTTAACCACAAATTACTCTCAGCCAATCAGAGGCTGGGAGTCCCAACTCCAGCTGGCACCTGGCTCTCTAGGAAGCTTAACTCTGTGGGAGCCCTGCAGAGGGGTTGGTTTGAGGTCCCCTTGGGAAAGAGGTCAATACTGCAGGTCTATTCTCTCAGTGGGTTCCTTTGAACTTTCAGATTTTGTTCTAGTTCCATTTACTGGGAAAAGGAACCCTAAAAACTGGTCAACTCTGGGAGAGCCAAAACAGTGAGCATTCATTTGGTGAACATACATACAAAATGTTCCAAAAGTCTTAGTATAGCTTAAAATTGCACTAAGACTTTGAAGGCACACTGCTGAAGAATTGGCAATTCCTACTTGGCCTCCCAGCTTTCAGTCTCTCTGCTGTAACCCACAGCAACTAATGTGATATTCTGAAAAGACAGGTCTTTACCCTTTCACTCTCTAACTCAAATCTCTGGGGGGGAAAAAAACTCCTCAAAATTTAAATCCTCCCTGATTTGGTTCCCACCAGTCTTATTTCCCATTCCTCCCCTTCTCACACATGTTGCTTTAGTGAAACTAGTCCCTACACATCCCATTCCATCCCCTGCCTCCATCCCTCTGAGGAAGCCTTCCCCTACCATGTCTGAAATGTGCTTGCTCTACACCTCTGTCTCTTGGAATCCTTAGATTCCTTCCAAGCATAGCTCTGATGCCACCTCCTACTGGTCTTGAAATTACTTTGTATATTCTTGGTGTTTCTTTATTGGTATATATGTCGTAGCCCCAGGAAGGCAAGGACTGTTTTCTCTTTGTCTTTGCTACACGTGCTCACAGAAAGGTGCTTGACTAATGATTGAATTGAATTCTACAAATTGTGCTCATATAGTATCTTTAGCTCCACAATGCCTTTACATTCAGAAAATGCTTATTGAAGGCCTGCCATTTACAATGCATAGACTCCTTTCCCCTCTTTGAATCCTTAGCACAGCCCTATAATGTACGGAAGAGCAAATGGATGGTATTACCCCTATTTTAATGGCAGAGAAATTAAATGGCTTCCATGTGTACACAAAGCAAGTCTGTGGGAGATACTAGATTAGAACTGCAACTTTTTGCCTATCTTTGGGCGAATTTTCAACTGGACTAGGATAATTTTATTTTCCCAAATTCCACGCAATGAGAAATGAGTCCATCCTCAGCGTATATGGAGAATGGGGCACATCAGAAACCTGTCAGGGGTTTAATTGGGTGGAAACTGAGAACGTCAAACTTTCTCAACCATAGTCTAGATCAAGGGTTCTGAACCTGGGCTCTGTAAACTGGTTTTTGATAAATAGATAAATGCATACATACATACATACATACCTAGATAGATAGATAGATAGATAGATAGATAGATAGATAGATAGATAGATAGGTAGATAGATAGATAGATAGATGGTTGGTAGATAAATGTGATAGATCATAGATGATTGAAAGATGTGATAGACAGACAGATAGATGATTGATAGATGATAGACGATAGAGTTCAATGCATAGTAGAAAATAACTTTCAATTTAAATGGTTTTCTTACTAATATGATGAATTTTATTTTATTTATTGAAAAATATGATTCTGAAAAGGGGTCCACAGGCTTCATCAAGTGGCCTTACCATGAAACAAAAAAGTTTAAGAACCCCTGTCTTAGATACTATTGTATCATGCTGTAATACTCCAGTCCTTCAAGTGAGCTGGGATTCACCAGTGTGGGGACTCCTGCCCCTAGTGCAGATCATACCACACCCCCTTTTCTTCTCATTCTCTACAGCCCTTTTCCATCTCTTTCCCTAAATCCGTCATAAAGGATGTCTGTAACATGCTAGAAGTCTTTGCCTGGTTCTTTTAAAATTTGGTAGGAGATTCTGTAACTGCCAGTCACATATGTTATAATTTCCATATCCCATATCCATAATAAATTCCCATATCTTGATCTTCAGATGAGGGAAATCCATTCTGGCTTTGTGACTCAGTCATCCCAATCCCAGGATGCTGCTTCCACCCAGTGAAGATAGCACAAAATAGACAAAACAATTAAAGCAAGAAAATCCAAAGCCCCTCATGGTCTTGAAAGATCTGAGACCTGAAAGAGAAGTGAAAACATTCTCATTCAAATGTGAGTGACTTGTGAGTAGGAATGGTTTCATTCTTTATATTTCCAGCGATTAACACAGTGTTTGGTGCGTAGCAGAACCTCGATAAATGTTTGTGGACAAAAAAAAAAAGAACGTGAGTTTCTTGAAAGCAAGGATCGTGTTTTTGTTTTTCAGTGCATCTCCAATGCTTCATATGTGTTAAATGCTGACTAAATGCTTGTGGACTAACTGACTGGTTGACTATATGGTGTCTCACCAAAATCAGAGGATTTTGGGGGGAAATTTTTTTTTAACTCTATATACAAATGGTTGCAAATCTGAACAGAGACACTCAAAGACTCACTTATAGACAACGTTGTAAAATGCAATATTCTATATAATGGAAAAAATACTATTTTGATATATCTACACCCCTTCAGTGGAAGGCATAACCAAAGTTTCTTAAAGATACACATACTTTTTATGTAAGTTGAAATACAAAGACATGGCTAATTCCAAAGAATATATATATGTGTGTATATATATATATATATATATGTGTGTGTGTGTGTGTGTGTGTGTGTGTATGTATGTATGTATGTGTATATACTCTCTCCAACAGCTTACTGGAGTCAGTTCAACCAGAATAGTAAAAGTTGATTGTTAAATTTTCAGTGTGAGCATATGTACCTCAGAAATCAGCAAATGCTACAAATCAAGGATTGATTTACTGTCTTGTTAATTGTCTAAACTTAAGAAAGTAATGGAGAAAATGTCAATAATACAAATTAAACCAAAAAGTGTGTCCTACATATGTTTGGGGAGCCAGTTGGTACATATTTACCAGCATACCTCCATCTTTATCCCAAACTATCTACAGATATGTAAATTCTCATGTCAAAACTGGTCAAAATAAACAGATTATATTCATTCTACAGAGTTGTCGTATTCATAACTATTTTATTTAGAAAAGAATATCAAAAGATGAAAAAAAATTTGCCTCAAAGAAAAGTTATTCATAGGATTTTTTTTCCTTCTTACTCTATGCACCCAAAAAAGTGATTTTTTTTTAAGGTAAAGAAATTTTGTCTTAACATTTGCTCTTAGAGAGGTTCTGATTCTTCTTGAAAAGAATATAAACCAACATGTTAAAGATTAACTGAATGACTGAAAAATAATTCTGTTCAAGAACTGTGTTCGGGGGGGGGGGGGGGAATGTCACCTGAAATTAAATTGAATTAACTTCAATAATCTCCTAATTGGTATAGTTGAAAGGTTTCTGGACTTGGTCCTGAAGTACATTGGCTTGAATTCAAACTCCCTTACCAACTAGCTATGTGACCCTGGACAAGTCATTTACCATTTCTGGGCCCCAGTTTACTCATTTGTAATATGAAAACTTTGGACCAGATCAGGGGTTCTTAACCTAGAGTCTGTGAACTTTGGTTTTTAGAAACATATTTTGATAATAGCATTTCAAAATGAATGATTTCCTTTGCAAGTCTACATATTTTATTTTACACATTTGAAAACATTGTTCTGAGAGGGAGGGGGACCATAAGTTTCATCAGACTGCCAGGAGAGCTGAAGATACAAAAAAAAAGTTAAGACTAAATGAATTATCCCAACCTCAAACCTTGTGCATCATTCACATGATCCCAGAGATTGAAGAGACCTTAGGAATCACCCACTCTTCCCCATTCATTTTAGGGCTAGGCTATGATTTAGGGAATTCAGGGTAACTGCTTCAGGGACCACAGATCAGCAAGCACTTTGCAGCCAGCATGTTAGAGAATTGGCTGGCACAGTGAGGGGTTATGTGACTTGCCCAGGATCACAAAGCCAATAGGTGTCAGAGGTAAAACTCTAGCTGAGATCTTCTTTACTCTGAGGCCAGCTCTCTATCCATTAGGCCAATTCACACACACACACACACACACACACACACACACACACACACACACACACATACACAGACTCATTTTACATATGAGAAAACAGGAGCAAAAAAGTGAGGCGACTTGCCTAAAGTCACCCAGCTGGTTCTGGGAATCAAACCTGTCTTCTTACTCCAAATTGAAACCTTCTTTCTTAGCCACCAAGCCTGGCTACTGCCCTCCCTAGATGTGGTTTTCAAAATATTTCCATAGATTAGCGGATGCTAACAGTCCCACCTGGAGAAGAACTGGAATTCCTCTGTATACCAGCAAAGTCAGGCTACCTAGGGGCACCATGCTGTTCCCAGGAAATTAAAAATAAAAACCTTCCGGCAGAAAGGGGCCAAATTTAGCAGGAGGCAAAGAATGGAAAAGGGCAAATCGTAGGCTAAGAAATTCGGTGCCAAGTTTTGGCCAGAAGCAAAGCCCTCAGAGCCGAGTTATCAGCTTTGGATAATTCTGGAAATGCTGACAGACCCTTAACAAGAACAATTCTTCAACCCCATGCCCCCTGCCTTCCTGCTGCCCAGCTACTCCTCCTAGCACCAAGTCCCCAGGACTTAGCTACCCAGTAGCCTTTTCAGAGACCTTTTTCAAACACATTTTCCCCACAGACTGCAATGAACTCCGGTTGCTGATACCAGTCAAAATCTTGCACACCAGCTGAGCTTATCAGAATCCCACAGATGCAGTCTATGGACAGTGTGATTGCATCTTCACACACACAGACACAGACACAGACACACACACACACACACACACACACACACACACACACACACACCCCAATGTATCAAGCTAATACACTTTCTCCATGCTCCATTATCAAAAAATCTTAGAGCTGGAAAGAACCTTAGTTTTCCCATGCTTTCATTTTACAGGAAAGAAAACTGAGT